TAAAAACGTATACAGTTCCCCATAAAAGAGTTGTTTACCTTGGTTAAACGAAATCGTGGTACCATGAGTTTGGACTTACCTCTAAGGTTAATATTATGGATATCTTCTTTCTTATTGAAATTATGTATATGTTTACGGGCATATAAAATATTTGAGTAAATGTACTGTGATGCCACAGTCATGACACCGGTCTCCTTAAACTTTTCTCTGAGACATACCCGAGAACCTAGACGGTACACAGAACGAATCGCTCGTTTTTGCAATACAAATATGGTTTGAATATCTGCCGCTTTACCCCACATGAGAATCCCGTAGGACATTATACTATGGAAGTAACTAAAGTAAACTAGTCTAGCAGTACTAACATCGGTAAGCTCACGTATTCTGCGGACTGCGTATGCAGCGGAGCTTAATCTGCTGGCCAGAGACGATATATGTGGAAACCATTGAAGTTTACTATCTAGGGTCACTCCCAAGAAGACTGCTTTATTAACAAGGTCTAACTTTTCTCCGTTTATTTCTATGCTTGAACTAGTCGATTTTACGTTAGGTAATTCAAATTTAACACATTTTGTCTTCTTGGCATTAAGCAATAAATTGTTAGCATTAAACCAATAAACAACCTTAGAGAGGGTATCATTAATACGGTCATAGTTAATGTCATGTCTGTCTGTTTTAAAAATCAACGATGTGTCATCAGCAAACAACACTATTTCGCAATGATCCTTAACAAAGAATGGCAGATCATTAATATAAATCAGAAATAAGAAAGGTCCAAGTATTGAGCCCTGCGGAACACCCATTTTTACTGGAGAACAAGAAAAGAAGAAAAGACAAGAAAAGACAATAAGAGCAGCGAGTAAATGCCTGATACACTTCGCTCGCAGCGTATAGTTGTCACATTATTATTTTAATTGAAGCAACAGTTCTTAACATAATTTAAAAAATAATAATCACACTATTCTCGTGCTATATTGAAATAACTTTTGTTAAATGCAGTATTTATGCGCTGATATTTTTATACCAGTATCGCGGACTGGTACCTGTCCCAATTATGGGACTAAAATTATGAAATAAAAATTAAATGCTGAACTATTCTGAATCAATCTTGTTCAAATTACCATAAACATGTCTCCTGTCACTATTTAATGCCATTTTTTAAACAAAGCGAACGTTTAATTCTACAATGAGTGACGACACGCGCTATACAACGGGCTGCATTCATTATCCTACATTGCAGGCCGCCTTGCCGTCCGCCGCGTAATGCTGGATTAAAGGCTGCATTTATTATCATACATTGCAGTCCACCTAGCCGTCCACCGCGTAATTCAGGTTTATGAATGTATCCGCAGCGAGCAAGCCATTCTACTATCCTGCAATGCGTCTTTCGAGACTCCACACGTGAGCAATATGCAGGATAGCGTGTGAGCAGTTTCCTGCCTGCGCGGCGGACTGCCATGCAGGTAGTGAACGGGCCGTTTTAGTGCTTAACGTAAGATTATGCGAATGTGTACGTCTGTTCCGTACAAGGTGCGCAGCGGGCGGGTACACATACAACTCACGCAGCTGCGTTTGTATGTGATTACTGCTTACCCTATTTGTCTTGTTATACTATGATATAGGTTAAGCTTTAATTCGGACTAAGGTGATAGATTTAGGCTTTATATTGTTATTTTAGAATAAAACTCATTACCAATGACGAAATCAAATTTTTCAGAATACACGCGTGGGGGGACAGTCTCAAAGAGGCGTTTGAACAATGTGGCATGGCCCTATGCGGCTACATGGTGGACCTCACACTAGTGGAGATTCATAAAAAATTTTATATAGAAGTAGAAGCTGATGAAGTTTTGGTCCTGTTGTACAGATTTATCGACGAACTGCGCTGTTTATATATCACTGTACCTTGCTTTCGTTGCAAAAAATTGGAAATAACAAAATTTAAAACGAACAGAAATGGTTGTTTTATTGGCTGCAACTGTTTTGGTGAAGAGGCTAAAAAAGACAAGCACTGGTATGGTATTACAATCGAAGGCACAGATTTTGTAAATATGAAAATCGTTAAAGACCCAGATAATAATAGATTTGAAATATGTTGTACAATTCATGCATGTTCTTGAATATAATTAACTATTTAGAAACCAAAAAAGTCTTTGTTGTCATGGTTCTAATGTACAGTTTGAAAATTTACAAGGGAAATATCGTTATGGTACATAGTTGTCTATGGGTAATATCGCTATCACTCGTGTTTAAAGCAATCAAGGGCTCTTTTTTATCAACTGAATAGAATGATGGGGATTTTGTAATATTAGTTTACATAACTAATATTTCAAAATCCTACCTTAATGAAATTGCCGATTGCTAATACCGGGATGTTAAAGTTCGATATATTTCATTTTATATTTTCAAATTTAAATTATAGTTTTATTTATCATATTTATTTTAAATAATCAGTTATTCATTTGTTTTTCTGCAGTTCGATTTATTTTTATATAGTTGTTTCTGTGACCACGGAAAAATCTAATTTGCGTGTTTTTTTCGAACACAAGTTCTGCATCAACTCAGCACAGGCGGCACGCAATGTGAACGATATTTGTATGGAGCAGGTAACGCAAGTAAGCGCACAGTGCGTTTTTGGTTTGATCGCTTCCGTTCTGGAAATTTTTATCTCAACAATGAACCCCGTGGCTGTCCGGAGACGGAAGTCGATAACGATGAATTGAAAGCCATAGTGGAAATATATTCATCCTAAACCAAGTCGTAATTAAAAAATGTTTTAAAAATGGAAGCACGAAGACAAGTCCATTTGACTTGTTTTGTACACAAGTTAATTACACCCCGAAAGCCAAAATATCTCTTTGACAAGCTAGACTGGATCACGAACGTTTATAGCATAAATACTCGACGAAGACAAGCCAACCTTTTAGCCACGCCGTCACATAGGACGACTGGCTACAGGGGTAGTCTGAAGTACTCGGCGACGAAAATTTGGAATGATTTACCACCACCTCTCCGTCATAGCAGTTCCCAACACTTAGTTAAGACGCATACGAAAAGAGAATGATTAGAGCGACAAAAAGTAATGTAACTCCTTCTTAAAACGGGACAACTTCGTATGAACAAAACGGGAAGAATTATTTTAATTTATGTGAAGTTAACTGTTTTTTTTCCTTCTTATTAGTTTAGAGACGGAGCAGATAGCCAGCCAGCGTAAGTGTAACTGAGAATATTGTCTGGTTTATATATATTTTTTAATAATATTATTATTGTTCATTACATGTAAATTAGTCGTACATAGTCATATTCATGCCATTTAAAAAAAAATCTATTAAATGTTATTAATGCATTCAACCGATATAATTATTAGTATTCGATGTTTATCGTGGCTATGGTATCGTTGAATTGGATTATGTTGAAAAACGATGTGTCAACAAGGTCAGGCTGAAAATCAGTACCGCGAGGCACACAGCCACAAGGATTATGCTGAGCCATTGTTGTTGTTCCCACAATATTGTTATATTATTATGTTCTGTACGTATTACTGTTTGTGGTAAATAAATGGTTTAATTAGCAGTAGCCTTCAACGTAAGTGCTAAAACGATATTGATTCATTCGTGTCAAATTAGAATGACAAAAAAAGCTAAGAAAATGGGTGCCGTATGAACTCACTGAACAAAAGGAACAAAATCGCGACGAAGCTTGCCTTAAGTTGTTGAATAGGCACTCAAAAGAGGGGATTCTAGATCGGATTGTCACTTGTGATGAAAAGTGGATCTCGTATGACAATCGAAAACGTCCGTCGTACTGGTTGGCGGCCAAACCATGTCCGCTTGTCAGTGTATGGTGGACCTAGTTATCATCGATTGCCGTTCCCAGGATTTATATAGCAGAGGCATCAATGAACTTCCCTTAATAAAATGGCAAAAGTGCGTCAATTCGAATCAATTAAATATAGTATATATTTATCATTAATTTCTTTTCAATTCTCTTATAAAATGGCAATTTCCTAAGTAAGGACCTAATACTTATAATTTGAAGGGTGAAAAACTAGGAGGTTAGGGCTAAATAAAAGAAATAAAATTACATTGTGATATGTTTAAATCTTAGGGTCGTATTCCAGAGCCCTACTCAATGCTCAAGTCAGGACTTGAGTATGATTTCAAGCACTGGAAATACGACTCTAATGGCAAAGACTTGAGCATGATTTCTAGTTTTTTTTTTTTTTTTTTTTTTTTTATACCTGACAGGCAAATAACTCATCTCCACCTGATGTTAAGTGGAAAGTGGTATCGTAAATTAAATCGTACTCAAATCCTGACTTGAGCATTGAGTAGAGTTCTGGAATACGACTCTTAGACTATGGATTTTTTTTCCATCCTTTAAGGTTTAAATGGTCTTTACCTCCATTTTTCACTGGAGAGCAAATAGATAAAACCAAATTGTCGTAACTCAAAATTGTGAAATTGAGAAAACACGAAAATAGAATTAGAAAAAACAAAAAAGATGCTGAATGGACATTGACTTACAATTATAATGGATCTTATTACCATTAATGTGATTATTTTTATTTTACATAGAATAATATTAGTTATCCATTCATTCAGTAGTTTTTTGAACTTTCAAATTGTTTTGTCTTAATTCCAAATTTTTGTGTTACGGCAGTATTTCGTTGGAGATGGGGCAATTACGAGTAACTAACATTGGACTATGAGTTTCCATTTCGGTAATTGAATGGCCAAATCCAATCCGCGAATAGGTATGTCGTGGCAACTAAATTAGCGTGGTATACGGGAATCTATTGTTATCAATCCGTAGACAACACACATTAATGCTTACTATGTAAAAGTGAAAGTCCTTAGCCATTGAAACAACAAAGTAATAACGTTAAATCCCTCTTCTGTAAAATTTGGTTGAGTCCAGATATGCGCCTTTTACCAATGCTACATACGCGGATTTGCACTATGCCCCACGATTTCATTTCGTCTGTTAGTAAGATATGAAGTTAAACATTTGGTAGTAAATAGCAGAACAATGTTACCAATATCAATATTAAAGTAATAAATCTGTTGACCTATCAATCTTTACTCGATTTGGTTACCTATCAATAGTCCGAAATGTCCTTTTCCAGAAATAACGTTTGCTCGAATTTTCAAAACCTCGAAAGTAATTTTGAGAGGAAAATGTTTTTTCTTTGAAATCTAACTAATCTAACCTAACCAAACCTAATAGTATCTTTGCGATAAATATCCAACATGTCCTGAAAGAACAACGGTTTCGTTATAATTCAGTTTTCGTTGTAATGAAAATTCGAACAAACGTTGTATCGGGAAAAAAAATTCGAGTTTGTGATAGGTTACAACTCGATTTAAATTACCTAACACGTTGGGGACGCGAAAGGAGCCCCCAAGATAACATATGACGTAAATGGTTACCATCACTTTCGTGTAAGTACATCTTGCGCACCCTGGGCAACAATCGGCGTATAGGTACATTACACTGACTGGCAAATTCTTACACTACGATGGCAAGTATTGCAGTGTATGCCATCGATACGATAAAGAAGAATTACCTGTCGATTTATATTTGATTGAATATTAATTTTTGTAAAATAATAAAACTAAACTCTACAAAAACAATGGTTTTATATCTAACAGTTATTGCATTCTAGAAAATGGGCTAGAATTATTTTGTTTGAAGAAAAGAAACTGGAAGTTTGTCGTCTAAATAAAGTTCCGCAACATCACAAGTCCGAAATGTAACAGTGGGAGGACATTCTCCCAGTCACAAATTAGCTTCCAACACTCGGGAAAAATAAAGGGTTTTAGGTGCTGGTGGCATAAGGACAAAAGGAAGAACATAAGAGGCGCTTCCTGATGGATACGGTATTTCTAAAACTATCTAGGCACTATGACTTGATGAATGATGACCAATGGTTGGAAAAATGTGTTTTTTTTCCACATATATAGATACATGTATAGACTTAGCTACAAGGAGCGACATAGAGTTATTAAAACCACCAAATATTAATTAATTCCTTTTTCGGATTCCGGATTTCTGGAAATGGTTTTACTGCGTCGTAGGACAAACTACTGACCTAGGAAGTCGAAGTTGGATTTTAAAGTAATTCTAATGGTGCCAAATAAAAAACCGTGACCGTCTCCAAATAGTAACCAGCGGATGTTAGAAATTTTGATTCTGTGTTGCTGAACATGTCAATATGTCCTATTTAAGGATTCAATCATCTAGGCCATCGAAGAATGGTGTCCGTCTTAGCGTCATGGTGCGGGTTAAAAAGTTTAATTCCTTTAACAAAATTTTAATACAAAAAGGTTTTTTATTTATGTGGTCTGTGGGTTTTACTGTCAAATTGTCAGTGCCAAAACTCAAGCCAAACCGCCAAACTATTTTTACCTTAGACTTTTTTACGCAATAACTACAAAATAATTACTTTATTTTTGACTGAAAATATTCACATCGGATGGACTTCAAAGAGAATAATAAAGAGTAATTATAATACAACAAATATTACACCGGAAATTATGCAACCCAGAAACATGAAAGTAAGTCTGACCATCTGGTAATTATAACAGAAATAATTTAAAAACATTAATTATATACTTATAGAAAATCACTGTGAATCCAATCCGGAAGTCTCAATATAAGGTCCAGGCTTCATTTGCGGCGTTATTCAACAGCTTGATTTTCGACGCAGTTTCCCGAAACTGCGTCTTATCCGAGTCGAGGCGTATAACACTATAACATTGCGGATGGGCTACCCGATTGGATACATTCCGATTTGAATTAAACTCAGGGCTCTGGCCTTAAAATAATATATAACAGTTTAACAGTCCGTATAACTCCAATTAATTATTACCTACTACATAATAATTTATAGTTATATAGCTATGTTAACGGAAGAATAATTAGATGAAACTATCTTTTTTTAAATCTCAAATCGTACGTACCCCACAATCTTGCGATTGATGTGCGGGCAATCGTGTTCTCGTTAAACAGTGTAATGCTCTTTGTGGGCAACAAACATTTCAATTCTCGTTTCGCCCATCCTCGTCAATCCAGATCTTTTTCATCGCAGATGCGCGGGAAGAGAATCGAAATTTTGTCATACAAATTTCTATTCGCTCGCTAGGGTCGTCTCGCCTCCTCGCCTCGCCATGCCGGTGGAAACCCACTTAGCCTTTTCACGGACGATCTTTCCGTTGTTGTAACAAAAACGTACACGAACAAAAAATGTTACCATAAAAAATATCAAACAGGTAATCGCTCACGATTGCTCGTGCAGGCTTTCCCGCGCGCAATCCTGTACAATCCCTGATCACGCGCGATACAGTGACTGTGTGAAAGCTATTGTATGTACAATAGTTACTAAAGTAGATTCGAATTCGGACGGTTGTGTTAGACATTTTTTTGAGTTCTTTGTGTAAACAGACTGTAGACCGTTTTGAAAATGAATTCGTCGTGCGCGAGCGAAAATGAGATATTTTAAAAAGAACTGACCTGTGCCGTTGGTAAATGTAACACAATTTTTTCCTAAAGTAACAATCAAACAGAAAGCTACCACAAAAATTCATGGAAACACAATAACACGAACTGCCGCTTCCTCGCGTGCCCTGAGAATAATTCCTTGGACTCATATCCATCAGGAAAACAAGCAATAAACAGAGGTGACCTCCTGATTTTGCTATTAAAAAAAAACTTGAACACAAACGTTGATTCATATGTTGCAATAACAAAATACAATCAAACCTAAACGACCTAAAACAAACCATTTCATCGGAAACCAGACTCTTCCAGAACAAAATAAATAATTTTTTTTATAAAAAATAAGTGCGCATTTCACCTCCATCTCACCTAATGGAAACTGACGATGAAGTCGCCGATGTAGCATGCACACCTAAATAATGCCTATTCATTCTCGCATTGAAAAGGTCCAAGTTACATAAAACGTTCGAAGGAACAAGTCCGCAGGCAAGTAATTCCACTCCCTAGAGAGTTGTTCTCGTTAAACAATGTAATGCTCTTTGTGGGCAACAATACGGTTCAATATTGCATCAACAAATATTTCAATTCTCGTTTCGCCCATCCTCGTCAATCCAGATCTTCTCCACCGAAGATGCGCGGGGAGAGAATTGAAATTTTGTCATACAAATTTCTATTCGCTCGCTAGGGTCGTCTCGCCTCTTCGCCTCGCTATGCCGGTGGAAACCCACTTAGCCTTTTCACGGACGATCTTTCCGTTGTAACAAAAACGAACACGAACAAAGAGCTAGCCGCTCGCCATATAAATGTGGAAGCGAAACGCTTCGTACGAATCCTGGGAATATCCACAATTATAGAGATGGAACCCCAGCCCATGTCTAGTCCCCCGATGATGGAAAGCAGAAGGCGGAATCAAATTATGCAATTCCATCGCACACTCTACGTGATATTATATTATCCTGTAGAATACCGATAAGCAGGCAACTTTACGGCGGTGTTCAAGGTTCTGCAGCTTCGCCTCTACTAATTCCGAGTCACTTATAAGCCTCTCGACACGCTTGTTGATTGAATCCGAGGTGGCTAGTTGCTATTTAGCAGAGCCATCCCATAAGTAGTAGCAATACTCCATACACGACCGAACTTGCGCTTGGTACAGCTGAAGAACCCGTCTTGGTGTAAAGTATCACCTTGGAAAGGATGTCAATCTTCCTGGCTGCATTTTTGGCCATGGATTCAATGTACGTATATGCTGAAGTTCAGATTGGACGACATGTCAATTCCAAGTAGGTGAAGACAGTCGACCATCGGTATGGATATATCACGAAAAGTCGGAGTGAGTTGAAAGAGACTCCGTTTTGTGGAGAATAGACACGCCTGCCTTTTGGTAGCATTAATTTGACATGGTTGGTATCGCCCCAACCGAAGACTGCCTTAAGTTATAAGAACTATGGTAAGCGATGAAGAATAATATAGATAAGCAATACCCACCCCTGGCTCTCCCAACGTATACGCTACTTCTGAATCATGTACACCATGTACTGACTCATCTTGGCAACCTCCATCATTATTATATCAAATTGCCCTCGAAATAACTCACTTGTAAAACCTCGTAGCAATTGTATTGATCGATTTGTTGATTTTTACGTTATTCTGTATTCCATTGATCTCTTTAAATTCAAAAATACATTTAGTGCTTTTTAAAATGTCATTGGTAAATTAATACTATGTTACCTACGTTTATTTAGTTATTGTTTCACATTAACTTACCTAAAGAGCGTCGAAGAATTTAAAGACGTTTCATTGTAGGTCAAGCCTAATAAAACCGTTTACCCACAAAGGCTTTAATAATAATCTTTATATTCAAGTCGAAATTTTAATCCACACAAATATAAATCTTTGACTGTTTTAAAGTAAGGTACTCAATCTAACAGGGGTCAGTCAGCATGGCAATTAAACCGCGGTGTCCTTAAACATGCCGCGGTATCCCTAGGTAAGTACGACGCGGCGTTCTTGCATCGTCATGTTCACGGGTTAAATGGCCAAAAGCAGATGACAGCAAAACTCATATCGTGGTAACAAACCTGTAATTAGTGATAGTCATTTAGCGAATAACAACGAAAGCCTAAAAATCGCAGTCCACTGCTGAACATAGACCTCCCCCAGTGTGTGTCATTTCGCCCGGTCTCAGCTTGTAGCATCCATTTCCTGCCAGCAACCTTTCGCAGGTCGTCACTGCACCTGGCCGGAGGGCGTTCTACACTACGTTTGACGAGTCGCGGTCTCCACTCTAGAACTCGTTTTCTCCATCGGTTATAGGTTTTTCGACAGATATGGCCAGCCCACTGCTACTTAAAACTGCCTCCGTGGCCGAAAGGCTACCATGCCGGACTGCCACGCAAAGGTCCCAGGTTCGATTCCCGGGTCGGGAGAAATATTTGTATGGCCTATATTTATTTCTCTCGTGAGTTTGGGTGTAATTTCCCTACGACACTGGGATTCCCTAGTGCGGAGCTACGTTGAGCGTGTGCGTTATTATTATTTACTTCAGCTTGCTTATTGCACGAGCTATGTCGGTGACCTTGGTTTTCTGTCGGATAACCTCATTACGAATTTTATTCTTCAGAGAAACTCCGAGCATAGCCCGTTCCATAGCTCGCTGAGCGACTTTAAATTGGTGGACTAGCCGTATCGTGAGTGTCCACGCCTCGGCTCCGTAAATCATAACAGGCAGGATGCACTGGTTGAAAACCTTTGTTTTCAGACTTTGTGGTATAGGTAACAAGAAGACTCGACGTAGCTTCCCAAACGCTGCCCATCCAATCTGAATCCTCCACCTGGCTTCCTTCTCGAAATTGTTTCCACCTAACTGCAACATTTGCCCGAGGTAAGTGTATTCGGAAACAACTTCAAGAAGGTGGCCATTTACGACTATGGGTCTCGTATCAATGTGATCATTGATCATGACTTTGGTCTTGTCCAAGTTCATGCCGACACCACTACGTCGCGAGGCGGACACTAGGCCGCCCAGCATTTGTTGTAGGTCGTTCAGCGACTCCGCCATTAGGACTATTTCATCTGCAAATAGTAAGTGTGAGGTGTACTCGCCGCTTATGTTAATGCCCATACTTTTCCAGTCCAGCGTCTTAAACATATCCTCCAACATACCGTGAACAGTTTCGGGAATATAACATTCTTCTGTCTCATTCCTCTGCGTAATTGGATGGGTTTCGACTGATGGTCCTGTACTTGGACGCTCATAGTTGCGGCGTTATACAGACATTTCAGCACTTCGATGTAACGATAGTCCAGTTAGCATTGCTGCAAGAATTCCAAGACAGCCCAGATTTCGACGGAATCAAAAGCCTTCTCATAGTCCACAAAGGCTAGACACAGGGGCCGATTATACTCTTCTGACTTCCGTGTAATCTGCCTCACTGTGTGTATGTGGTGTATGGTGCTGTATCCCCGTCGAAACCCGGCCTGCTTCGGTGGCTGAAACTCGTCGAGTCTTCTGGCGAGACGATTCGTAATGACTCTAGAAAACAGCTTATATACGTGGCTCAGGAGTGAGATGGGTCTGTAGTTTTTAAGTAAAGATTCAAATTTGTCTCCTTTTTTGAAAAAGAGAACTACAATACTCCTGTTCCGCGTTTTAGCAGTTCTCCGACATTGAATGGCGGAGTTAAACAGATTCTGTCGTTCCTTGATGATTGGAACTCCTCCGGACTCCAGAACTTCTGAAGTAACTCCGTCTTCACCAGGGGCTTTTCCAGTCTTGGCTGATGATCTGGCTGGCTGGTAGATCGTCGGTATTGTGGAATTCCGTTTTTCATTATAATAATATTGTGTTTTGCTTTAATGTGCGTTTTGAAATACTGTTACAATATTGATTAGAGATCTGTGTTTGATTTTAATTATTTAAGAAACAATTTATTTTATTTCACCCTTACGATTATATATGATTATACGATTATTTTATGCCGAACAATTTTCTTCCGGTCAGGAAACAAGAATCACAACATTGTTGGCTAAACAAGAATAGCTCCATTTATGTAAACTAACCCTAGGCACAAAATACTGTGATTTTATATGACAATCTATGATTATCATAATAATTAATTATATTAAATTTTAAGCTTTGATTGTCCGATCTGGTCCGATGAAGAGTAAATAAAGAAGTTGCGTTTTCCAAAAACTGAGTTACGAGATTTTTTATAATTTAGACGACGTAAGAAAGAAGTATTACACTCCTTGTTTTGCATAATTCTATGTGTCCCGAGTGCCCCGAATGACGAGTTTAAAAAGAGAGCTAGAACGGCAAGCAGTCCAACACAACAAAAGATCGGTCTTGTAGTTCTCCAAGTTAATACGAAAATATGTATATTTCTAAAACAGCCGTGTTTTTTTCCCAGCCTTAAAAATGTTGAATGATACGACACCGTTACCGGAACTAACTCCAAGTAGTTTGATAATACCTCCGGCTAAATATCAATGTAAGTTACAAGATATTTTTTTGACAATTTTTTTATTGAAAATTAGATAGAAAGAGAACAATTTTATCATAGTACAGACAAGCATACTTAAGAGCATGACAACATTTAATAGATAAGATTACTCATTACATTCACATACATCATTACTATGAAAATAGAAAATAAAATCATTGTTTACAGTTCTTTACACGTAAAGTGACATGATCATAATAACTAGTTAAATTAATCCCCCAAAGAGTGAAGAAAGACAGAAGGTAGTAGCAGAGTTCCCTGTATAAGAGTTCGTCCAGGGAAGTGCTACCTATTTCTGCCGCCAAGCAGTAGGGTATTATGAAATGACAGGCACATGGGACTTGTCAACTTATGTCTCAGCGTATCGGGCGCAGTGGCAGTGCCCCTCAGATCTTTGCGATTTAAAGCTGTGAGTGCACTGCAACTGTTATGGACAGGCGTGACGCTTAGCACCAGGTCTCGACTTGTTCGTCCCGTCACTTGGTGTCACAGAAAAACACTCCGTGATATAGCCATGTTATATTACTTCTTTTGACCACTAGGTGAATTTACCATATTTACCACGAATTTATAAATAGTAATACTTTACGTGTTCGGTAGGGACAATTATCACAGAACTCATGATAGAGGCATTGATTCTCAGAGTCATATTCCAGAACTCTACTCAATGCTCAAGTCAGGATTTGAGCAGACTTGAGTATGATTTCAAGCACTGGAAATACTACCCTAATGGCAAGGATTTGAGTATGATTTTCAGTGCTCACTGCAATACTCAAGTCCTGACTTGAGTATTGAGTAGATTTCTAGAATACGACCCCACGTTTCTCTAGCGATAATCTCTTTCGTAGTGTCGCCGCATCCAGAGAGTGGGAGTCTCCGTATATCTTGCTTTACATTGGACCAAGGCACTGGCGTTAAGTAAGAATTATTTTCAAGTCGTTTAGTGTGAATGGATTCATCGGTCCACAAAACGAGACGTAACGGTTTTGATAATGACAATTTTCAATTTGGGAAATGAACATTTCTTAATGATTCTGTGTGTGCCGGATAGTGTCCCATAGTGATTCTTTGGTCTGCTACTCATAGTACAGGGAATTCCCTTCAGACCTGGGTAATTGGTGTGACCTATAGTAAAAAGAACAACAAACAGACGCGTTGATTGAATAGAATTTGAGGATTCCTTCCAGATGCAGTATGAAAGCTACGGCTAACAACTATGACTATCCCAAAATCTTTATCAAATACGTTCCATAGTACCTAACGTGTGAATTTCTTACAAGAAATGAAAATGGTTTGTAAAAATAATGTATGTATGAACCTTGGTGTCCGCTAGGATTAGCACTGTGAGGGCTGGATTACGAGGACTTTGATGTCTAAATTTTGTCTGGCTAAGGTGTTTTGGGTTATTATTTTATATCTTTGGTATTCAAGGCACCTTTGCTTAAGACCAGGCAATTGATGTGATTGTGGGTCACATCATTTAATAATTACTAGAGATGAAACAGATAACGATTTGGCCGAGTATCCGGCGAGCACCTGTATACAGCCGGATATCCAGCCGCCGGATATCTGACCCACTGCCGTAAACATGTCGTGACCGGTTTACAGCGCGATCGTCGTGATTGATAGATTAGTGAATAATTGCACTTTCACATTGACGATTTGATTGTTGTGGTCACTTGGTTTTTATAAAAACGATTAATTTATTCGATAATACAAACAAATACAATTAACAGAAAAATGTTAACAGTGAAAGAAATCGCAAGTTTGGCAAATTTTAATATCAGTGCTGTTTGTTTGTTGTGCCGAATGCAAATTTCTCGCGGTAGAGAAGGAAAAAAGCAATTACATCTTTCTTTGGCTATATTAAAATTGCTAGTTGTTATGAATATAAGCCTAGCACTTTATACGCCCGTTATTATTTTGTTTAATTTGATTTCATTAATTTGTTTGTGATCTAATTAATTCTAAGCCTTGATACCAGATTTGAAAAAAAATCTACTTGCACGTTCCATTATTGTAGGTTTATTGTCTCTGGTTGATGTACGCAGAGGCAGTGTCCCTCAAATCTTTACGATTTAAAGCTCTGAGTGGCACTGCAACTGTTTTGGACAGGCATGTCGCTTACCGTCAGATGCACGACTTGTTCGTCCCATCACTTAGTATCATAAAAAAAGGTACACATCGTATTTGAAGTCAGTTCAAATTGATTGCAATTGCGATTCTTTCGTTTGGTCGTCTGTCAATAACATGTAGTACTTAAAATTTAACAAAGTTTGCAAGAGTTTATAATGAAAAACTGTTCTCTGAAGCTAGTCTCGTATATGAAAATAAATTTACCACTTAACGCAAAAAAAAAACTGGTTTTCCACCTCACACATCCACCATAATTTGCCTTTATTGAAATTAGAGTACTAAATTTACAGATAACGTTATCTAACTTCATAGTTCTTTCTTTTACAAATAATAAACAGATTGTCAACGATTCTGTAGTTGCTGTTTATCCTATTACTATCACCTATAATCAATAAATCAATATCTGGCGTACTGATTATGATTTTTTCTCAGTTTCAAACATCCAGTATCTGGCCGGATATTTTTCTACTATCCGGTATCCAACCGGATAGTAAAAATAGGCCGGATATCGGACAGTTACCGAATATCTTTTTCATCTCTAATATTTACATTATAAACGTACAACATGTAATAGTCATGAATTGGTATCTACATGTGGTGTCAAAGTCAAAGTTAAAGTCAAATAATCATTTATTCCATAGGTAACATTTTTGCACTTGAAAACGTCATTTTTTTAAGCTACTGCTCGTTCACTACGCTGATCTCCCTGAGAAGAACGAGCAAGAAACCCTAGGGATTACCCTTTTCAAATAAACTTAAATGCTATGGAACACACTTTGAATCATAATTGTGTGGAATCTAGACTCTTGTTGTCTTCCATACTTCTTTATCTAAAACATACTCTTCAATTTTGTAATATGACTTTTCAATTAAAATACTTTTAATGTAAGTTTTAAACTTAGGAAATGATAATCTTAATATATTCTCCGGAATCTTGTTCCCCATAAAAGAATGGTTTACCTTAGTTAAACGAAATCGTGGTACCATTAGTTTGGACTTAGTACTAAGGTTAATATTATGAATATCTTCTTTTTTAATGAAATTATGTATATTTTTACGGGCATACAAAATATTTGAGTTAATATACTGTGATGCCACAGTCATGATACCAGTCTCCTTAAACTCTTCTCAGAGAGGAACCCAGAACCTAAACGGTACACGGAACGAAGCGCTCGTTTTTGCAACACAAATTTGGTTTGAATATCTGCCGCTTTACCCCACATGAGAATCCCGTAGGACATTATACTATGGAAACAAGTAACTAAAGTAAACTAGTCTAGCAGTAGCAACATCGGTAAGCTCACGTATTCTACGGACTGCGTACGCAACAGAGCTTAATCTGCTGGCTAAGGAAGATAGCTAAGGAAGATACACATACTTTTTTGAATAATTTTTAACATATTCTATAAAATGTTATATGCAATTAGTATTATAAGTTTGCATAGCGTATAGCTCATATAAACGAGACCTACTCTTATGAATGCCTACTGTTGCCCAGTCATTGAATTTAGACTCCTTATAGAAAGTTATTGCTTTCGGTTTGAATACATTATCAAATTCATTTTTAATACAACTAAATGTCGTGTTATATAAAATATTTGGAACTTTTATTGGATATATATGGAATTTTACAAGAATTTGGAAGGAATTGTCTATATTGTTTTGAAATCGAATCATTCGTTCTGTGGTGATTACCAATCGGTCTGCAGAGAAATTGGTCTACCTTCTTGCTCATTTTACAATTAAAAGTAGCCAATTGCCCACTATGGTCCGATCTTAAGCAATTTATGATTGATTTAGGTGCTACGTCTGTGTTATAAAAATTATTATCAATACAAGTAGAAGGAGGCAGTGATGCGAGTTGGTTCCGAAAAAAGATTAATCAAGTTAAAACTTTTAAATAAATTAATGAGTGTTACAGAAGTAGAACAGTTATCCTACAGGTTTACATTGAAATCTCCACATACTAATATAGTTTTTTTGGTTGGTAAAATCCGTTATAGACTATCTTCCATGGTTAATTCAAATTCGTTGAAATTAGTATAGGGGGGCCTGTACACACATAAGATAACAAGCTGATCCAATTCCACACATGAAATTTCAATAGTTCGTTCAATAGAGAGATCTGTGATATCCTTACGGTCTTTAAATTTTAACTTACGCTTAATAATAATCATTGATCCGCCTCTACTTCAGTTCTTATGTAGAAAATATAATACTATATATTCATAAGAATGAACGAACTGACTATTACATAATTTTCTACGTTGTTAATTACTTCGTAGTCTTTCAACCAGTGTTCTGATACACAAAACATGTCAACGGAAAAATCGTGTAAAAAAAAAAGAGTTATTTCTAATGTTTTGCCAGAAAAGCCCTGAATGTTTTGATGTACTACATAGAAATGATTGGCTTTTCTGTTGTCGTTTACTAGTTTAAATTATGGGTAGTAGGTATAATGTTGCTACTTAGAGTAGGAGCATTGTCGTGTGACTGTGTTATATCTTCTATAACAGCGTCCTTAATATTAAAAGCTAGTATACTAGCAATATGTCTTAGATACCTTAGGGGTAAATGTAAATTATTCTTAAAAAGTATAAAATTCCTTACAAACTTATTGATGTCAAAACATGAAATGTTTACATCATGAAAGGTGAAATTGGTAATATGATCTAACAGTGCCTATTTTCATATTCCAGGATTCGTTCATGGGGACGCGATCTCAAAGAGGCGTACCAGCAATGTGGCATGGCACTGCTCCACTATATCACAAATCCCTCAGATATAGAAATAAAGACAATTAATGTTATACATTGTTACGGGGAAGATTTAATTTCGCTTTTGGAACATTACCTTACCCAAATAGTGTTAATTTACATAACTAAACCGAATTGGCTGACACGAAAGGTGGAAATTGTTGATTTTCTTAATGCCGGTTACAATATAACTTGTTATTGTTATGGAGAACAATATATAGATTACGGGAATAAACATAATAACGTCCCCAAAGTAAAAAACCCTAAATTCTCGTATATGCAAATTTGTAATGAACCAGAAAATAAAAGATTCGAAATATTTATTACAATTGATCCTACACTTCCGAAAGACAGGTTCTACAATTTTCAAGACTAATCCCACTTTGATGGTTAAAAATAGAGAAATGCATTGAAATGTAGAAATCTTTTGGTTTTATTTTGATAATAATAATAATATAATAAATCATTTATTTCTGATGTCTATGTACCACATGCTTAAATTATAAAATTACAAACACTTTAAAGTAAAAATTCGAATTAAATTAAAAGTTAAAAGCTAAATCCAAATTAAATATTTTAATCTAAATCACAAGATAAAAACCATAAAATAAAATAAATACAAATTATAATTAAATACAATATAAGTTAAATTAATAAGTATACAGCACATTTGACCTTATCGGGTTTTAGAATATACATTGAACCGTTATACTATATTGACAAATGTGAACTAGTTTTTTCATCATCATTACAATAGAAACTACTTAATTCCCATACTTATAGAGGTTCGGCAAATCCGGTTAGCTATACGGTCAAACATCACTACCAGACATGCGCGAGTCTTTAGTGCGTTTGTATAAGCGTGAGTGCATGCTGTTCCACCCTTTACACGCTGTTTTTGAACGTTGATCACACTATTCTTTTTCTAGGAACCCTAACTTCCATCTTAGGGAGGTGTAAGAGATTTATGCAGTTACGGTTCATATTTAAGGCGACTTATTAAGTATAAAACCTAACTAGGGACCACGTCCACCCTTGACGTAGGGCTATTGAAATCGGGTAATGTAATAAGCGTTTTATTGTGACCGTTTTCCCGTAAACAGGTACTCTTTGCATAAATAGCACGCACTTACAGAACTATAATATAAAGTTAACAAATAATAGCATGCTTGGCTTGCGCAAGTTTAGTCGTGTTTGCTTGACTTTGAAAAAGGGTATATTACCCAAGTACCCAAGTACCCAATTGGATGAAGAGAATTTCAGATTAATTCTACGTGTCGGTGTTTATTTCGGGGTATTTTTTACTATATACGATAATATATAAATTGCACAGAAGAATTAAACATCCAAGAATCCAAGAACTTATAATTTTATTTACTTGGCAGCTTAGTATGTTGTAATAAAATAAAAATATTGTCTATGATTAGTCTATGGGTGGACCATAAACAATAAAAAAAATGAGTCGCTTCCGCTTTATTGGCGGTTTTATCTTTTTCCGCATCCTCAATTGCGCACGTTTTTCATTATCCAAAATATGTTTTTGATATAATAAAACTTGTGTCTTTTACGATTATACCTAATTAAAAATCAACTGAATTTAATTGATTTATGAGTTTTATTTACTTTTAGTTGAATTAGAGAGATTAAAGTTAGAAATTGATAGAGCATGATTTACAAAAATGTACTTTCTAAACATTTTTTTCCCATTAATTATAATGCAGTACGTATTTTTAGGGGTTTCCACTGCATTTTAAAAAATATTGAATATGAGAAATACTGGGTAGATTTTTCATATTCACGTACGATAAAAATGTGGTTAAAGATAAAATATTAAAAAATATTTGTGGCAAAAAAATATTTATTTATTATTACACTCATTTTTCCTTTTCTTTAAGTATTGGCTACGATAATAAAAAACTTAAAAAATATAAATAAAAAGTATAAATTACAATTGAAAGAAATTCTTTCTTGAGAAACGATATAAAAATTTATTCTTAAATTAAAGCTTCATATTTGCAATTGGCAAATTAAATGGTATTTACTTAATTAGAGTAGGTAATTATTAAAATTGTATGAATTCATACTGTGTATTCCAACCAAAAGCTTGTGGATAAGTCATGTAAGTACTAGGCGTTTAGAATGCCGCATGCCGAAATAAAAAAATAAATGTGTTATATTTCATAGTTCCTGAGTTTTTTAGGGTTTTAAAAAGTTTTTGTAAGTACATAAAGTATTTGTCGACTGCGTACAAATCTCTTTAATTACGTTGTACTTTTAGGTACTTTATGGACGTAACAAATATAATAAGTGCATAATTAAAATACGTGTAGGGTGGTAAGGGTACAAGCATTACCTAGGTAGGTGCTTATTTATAATTATGTACGCAACATACATATAAATAGGTACATGTGTCATTATTAGGTAGGATTTATTGGTAGAGCAATGGGTAGGGCATGATTCTAGTAATTCTATATTTACCTAGGTATACTTATGTAAGCCAGAGCAGGTATGTTATAAAAATACGCTTAATCGTTTATTCACCAAAGAATTTTGCATATTTCGAAAGAGATTATATGCATTTATTACATATTTCTGGTTATATACTCGATGATTACATATCACGCTTTTATACAATATATACAGACAAGAAAATACAACACATTTGCATCTCTAAAATTTGCAATTTTTTGCAACGTAAAATATTTTTTTGCAAAATGTTTTTAATACGTATAATGCAATATTGTTTCACTTGAACTTTGATATGAACGTAAGTAGGTATTCATACAGCAAACTACACAAATGAATACATATCGGCGAATTAAAAAAGAAAAACAAATTAAAAAACATAATATTGTAATCTTTCAAATGTTTTCGTAAAGATTGCGCGCGCCTCCTGCGCAGTCGCTTTGTAAATACGCGACGCTACCTTTCTCAAACCGGTCGTTCAACAAAAATTCAAAAATTCGTTAATTTTTTATGGCTTTGTGAACGAGGGGACCAAGGGTAGGAATTTGGGAGAGTGGCGTCCGCTAGGGGTTGCTTGGCCGCTTCGCGCCTGCGCACGTAGTTCGCGCCACTGCTACGTCGCTTGCAAGCCAGATGTTCCGAAAAGCTTCCTGTCGCCGCCGTTTCAATGCTCAGCATTTTTGTACTAAAGTTATTGTAAAATGTGTACTAGGACTTTTTTATCGTCAATTAATAAGTGCAGAATTCAGTGAATAAATCGTTATGGGTGTTGCATAAACTAAGTGTTTGATTAGAAATTATCGAGCGTCTCGATGTCCACGAGTTCACTCGAGACCAACCAACAAAGCGGCGGACATTTTATTTTGAGTACTCGATAATGTAGCGTTTGCGTCGAAAACATTCATGTCGTTTTGTGGTTACAAATTGGAATATCGTTCGCTTACACCTTTCGTAAGTATTGTAATTCATCGTTAAATATTTCGTAGACAATGGTATGTCGTGCGAAATAAAGTTTGAGAAGCGGTAATAGTCTAGGTTTTACCGCTAGCCTGTAGATTTTTCGGTGAAAATGTCGTTGAAAAAATGACGTAAGCAAAACTAAACAGCTGCAGGAATGTTCTGAGGCCCTCGGTATTACATAAAGTGCGATTTATTCGTTATCGACCCACTCCGCTTCGGAGGCTTCTCACCTGTAAATTCCGCGCGCACGGCGCCCCTAACCTCTTCACTAATTGAATTGTCATGATTAGAAGCAGTCGGAATGAAATATCGAGGAGTATGTGAGACATTCGCGATGTTTGTGTAACAGCGATGCCGAGGGGGGTGAAGCGAGGGCCGGTGGAGAGCGAGGCGGTGGTGGTGCGCGCCGGGGCGTCTCCGGCGCAGACCACGCTGCTGGCGGACAGCCCCGGCCAGCCAGTCAGTTATCATCTACTGGATCACGGTTATGGGGCCACGCCGCAGCACCAGATCCGCCGTGAGGCTCCATCGGTGCCACCTAAGACGTCAGAAGTAAGTACATCCTCTACTATTATCACTAAACTTTTGGGTCTTCACAATTAAATCTAGGAGTAGCCATACTTTTTGAAATCACTGATGTGTAGGTGGATACAGATGTCAAGCCAATCCTTACTGGAAGCCTGTAAAGTGTCTGGAACCTTTACGGTTAGTTGTCAGTGTAGTATCATGTTCATTTCGAAGCACCAAAACAAATGCTTGCCTTAGTCTACGAACAAGTTAAAAGTGAGAATGTCACTCTACTATTCAATTATCCTGCATATATGCTTAAAGATGGAATTTGGTACAATTTTAATTTTAATTACAATTAAGTTGACCTAGATTATCTTAAACATCTTTGAATGACTTTTTTGTTACTAAATAATATTCTTCCCCTTGTCCAGTTTACAACTATTTGTGTATGTAATTTGCATCTTTAATACAATTAAAGTTTAAAATGCTGATATAAATATTAAGTGTTTTCATTATAGAAATGGAAAATACAGTTATTCTGAAATGTTTGCTTGACATATTAACTATGCATCACTGAATAATACTTACCATTCCTTGGTTATTGGAATCATGCTAGTAATGTTACAACTTTGGGACAATTTTCAAAAGTGTTTAACTATTTGTGTTAGTTATGTGAGCATCTTGACTCCTGCGGCCTCTATCGCTTAGATAATTAACAAATGCAATTGTGGAAATCGTCATGACCTCAAAGAAACATATATAATTGTATTTACAAAGTTTTAATGCCTTTGAATTACATTAAATATTTCAATATTTTACCTACAAGTGGCATTATAAATTCATATCCTGTGGTTACATCATACAGTTCAAAATTTTATACATAATGTTACCAAGTGGTTATAATAACAAACAAGAATAGATTTGGTTGGGAGCCATTGGAAGTAACTAGAAGACGAGACTCCTTTTAAAAGACATGTCTATCTAGTTTTCGAGTTGTAAAACATTAGTGATGATGTGACAAGATTGCATCATTAAATAATTTGGGTGTTTTAAGTTTTACTTAATACAATTTAAAATGCAAATTTGATCATTGCACTGTATTGATAAGAGTACCCTCATACATGCCCCGAAATATCAATGCAAAATTCTTCATTTATTACTTTCAAGTCTTTTTTTTTATTATTTTGGACATTTGGGTATATAGTTGCAGTTCTTGTCCATATACTGATATAGTGATCTATCAGTTTCAAGTTCAGTTCACATGATCATGACATTGTAATGCTTTGAAACCTTAAAATAAAGATAGGTTTCAATGACACAAAAAATTTATAAATGATGATCCATAGGCCTACATTTTAAACAACTATGATATTTGACTAAAGAATAGTATGATTATAACTATAGAGAAATAAAGAGAGATTTGAGAATGGGTGCTACAGTGTACATACTATGTTGATTGTGATAATCCGCTGGCTTCAATTTTGATCTTGTATGCTACATGACTATACATATGAAACAGTATTATGGGTATAGACCTTGACTAAAGAAGGCTTCAATTACTCTCCAGTACTCTCCGTCTCCATGTAGTGTTGAGTACATACACTAAGCACATAAAATTATAGATGAGTCACGATTTTTTTGTGATAGGTATAGATAATTCAAGATGTTTTGTCTCCGGCTTTTATTATTATTTTTTTTTAATAATAAAAATGTGCCAAACAGGTACAATTGCCTGGTCTCAATCTGGGAATTCCCTATGAGTACCAGAGCAACTGAGTTCACTCTGGACACCCAGACCAGAATCAATTTAGAAAAGTACTATTTCCCTAATTGGTCCTTTCGGGGAATCGAACCCGGGACCTCCTCATCCAGGGCCCTAAGTGCAAACCTTCGGACCCCCGAATTCGTCAGTTGGATAGACTTATTAATCTATATGCATTTGAATGTATGTATTATTCAATACCTAGGCATTTAATTATACAGGTATATCATTATACATTGATGATTGTTGTTCGGTGTTATCTGCGACATTTTTGTCGATGGTATTGATTGGTCTAAACGTAAAATTATCCTGGCCCATTGGGGTGATTGACCTGTAAGAGGTCATTGAACTCTGCATAATTAGATAAGTCCCACAATGTGTCTTTTGAAGTGCTGGTACCTCAGGAATTTTGGGGATTTGAATAACTTGTATACAGAATTGTTCAATTTAACTACAATAAATTTTATGTATAGTATGAAAAGATACGTAATATATGAGAGGTATCAATGAATGATTTTTATCGAGGCCTACATGAGTATTATACACTAGAGTACGTGATACTATGTATCCCTACATCGGCACACGCGAGGACTTGTACGTCGCTAAGTACTGGTCCTCACAAATATAAACGCCAGAGTCGACACGCCGAGAAGAAGAGTATGTGTTTCATTATTCGTCCATACATTTATGATATTCACCCAGTACATCCTCGACGCACTCTTCCGCGCAATTTGCGCCTCAATCTTGACGATAGGTTACAGGATTAACAATACGTAGTTTTATAATGAATTGGACGAAGTAGAGCGGTTTACCAGTCGTGGTTGCCTCGTGCGTTATTTTATCATGCATGCTCGCCACACCGTGCGTAGTCGATTCCTACAGTTTGATCCGGTACTAACGTAAAGCGTATGACACACTTCCGTACTTAGGAATTGTAGCGTGGGATAAGATGTGCTGTTAGCTTATTTACTTTCTTCCTTCGTGACACGAATTGTATTTATATCGTACAACGTAGCGTTATCGTGGTCACGCGAGAATTTTACTTATAATTGACGTTATAAACGGTTTTTATTCATAAACGTCTAACTTTGCAAACAAAAGCAATCGGAACGGTTTTTGAATGATAGCACTGACTTGTTACTTTTACGATGGTCCTGCACTTGGCCTACTCAGTAGGTCTAGCACGATAGGGCGCGACTTACGCAAGAGCGACATAAGCGCGGGATTGCTATGCGAGAATAGCAGTATCTCGCGCTCTATGTCGCTCTCGCGCAAGTCGTGACCTATTGTGCTAGCCCTACTGTTCACCGCTTTATTGCTGTAAGGGAAGAAAGTAACTATAATCTAAAGTAAATAAAAGTTGCATGTTTGCGTGATAAGTAGGTTGATTTTAACTTCTAGTGGCATACATGTATTATTTGCCAAATTTCTGTTTAGATGTGTGTTATAACATGTTTTTTTTTTCGTAATATTTACATCGTTTCAAGTGCATAATATTTGACGCTTCAAATCTTTTAAATGTTGTAGACCATGTTAAGCGTAACTTGGCCAAGGGTGGTGAGATGGCGTATCCATCTTCCATGGAATGACAGCAGCGTAGGCCTGCCGGTATTAGCCGCAAACTACCTGACTTTGTTTGCGGTTTTAAGTAATGTTATAAATAAAACAATATTGGGTTGTATTGCACTTTCAAAAGTCTTTTTATATGAAAACATTGCTCTGAATCTAGCTATTCACTCTCGCTTTTATTACAAAAAGTGAATTTATTACTTTAAAATCTAAATATATAATGAGTATGCAAATGAGGCAGTTGTACAATGTGAAGGCAAAATACCAGGTTAAGAATGTTCTTAATGTAATATTCTTACAGGTATAACAGTTTTATCTTTTTACTATTATATTATTATAGTTAAATTTAACAAAGTATTTGTGATGTGAAAACTTGAAAACTAGTGCGTTAAATACCGTAGCTCGACTATGTAATTGAAATTGGATACTTTTGGGAAGACGGCTTTGGGGTAAGATATTTGAAACTTGTAAACAGTCGCGGCGGCTTGGGATGCTCGTCTGTTGCTACGCAATGATCTATGATGGCGTTTACAAAGTTTTAACGTGTAATAACGATATAATCTCAGTACAGAGTACTAAAATAACCCACCGCAAAAGTTCGTGGAATTACATCTATTTGCGAAGTTTTATTCAAATCGGTTGCCGAAAAGTGCGCGAAACCGGATTAGTCACCTAGTTTGCCACCCTTAGAGGTGGAATATTTTCTTCAAATTTAAGAGTGGTTCACACGGCGATTTTTAGCAGCGAATGCATCGATACAAACGCGCGATTGCGTCGATGCAATCGCTTATGAAACCCAAGCGTTCGTATCGATGCGGTCCCGCGCTTGTATCGCGCTTAAAATTGCGCGCTTGTGATTAGCGACTGTATTGCGTTTGCATCGCTGCTAAAAGCCGCCGTGTGTAATCGCTCTTAATTGGTCCAATAATCAATATTGACAAATCCTCTTTCCGATAAAAATAGAATCATCAAAATCGTTTCATAAATTCACCAAAATCGTTTAAAAAAACTGGAGTTATCGCGATAAAAAATAGCGAATTGGTGTCCATGGCACCCGCGATACAGGGTTTCCCTAGTGCGGGGCTATGCGACGTAAAAAAATTTGTAAGACAGTCAATGGACTATATATAGTTTAACATCAAACAAAAGATAATTTAAATAACAACAACAAATAGCGTACATGAAAATATATTATAATAATACGTTTGGTTTACTTAATTTGTTAAGTAAATAATAATAATTATAACGCACACACTCAACGCAGCACCGCACTAGGGAATACCCTGTGTCGCGGGTGCCATGGACACACACATAGACAACCACAAATTGCACCCAAACTCACGAGATAAATAAATGTAGGCCCTACAAATATTTTTTCCGAGCCGATAATCGAACTTGGGACCTCTTTGTGGCAGTCCGGCATGGTAACCGTTCGGCCACAGAAGCAGTTATAAGTTCTATATAATTAAGCAGTTATAATAAATAGTAAATAAAAATGTGTTGAATTCAATACAAGCTTCTGGCGTTTGTGATTTTTCACTTTATGCTAACTTTTTGAAAAAAAATGCATGTTTTCAATATTAACGGAAAATCAGCCGAGTGCCATAAAGTTAAAATTTTTGAAATTGCAAATAATACTATAAATGTATGGTGTTATAGTTAGGTGCAGGGCAGTACTTGAATTACTTGTAATTGAAATGTGTAGCTTGTA